TCTTTCAATTTTACAAAATCTGAGATTCTAAAAACACGGAAAGAAAACATACAAAAAAGCACAACAAAACTGTCAAATTCTTTTAAAAAGAAACAATAGGACCAGCAAGGACAAAAAACCTTCATCCAAGACAGGATCTAAGGAGCAAAACAGTGTTCCTGAAGGAGAAAGAGACACTATGAACAGCTGTGCCCACAGGAGAGATGTAAACTAGTGGCAGGTTTCCACTGCAGAGTCAAATGAAGTCAAAACTCAGGGAGAGAAAAGCACAACTCCTCAAGCAGGAGCAGGAGGAGATCCAAGAGTTCTGCCGCAGATGAGGAGCTTTTTGCTGTCAGCTCCAGCCAAGGCTCCTGGCACCAGCCACCATGACAGAGCAGAAGAAAGCAGCTGCTATGTTTTTGGAGGGAAGAAAATCTGCTTCATCTCAAACAGGAGCCAAAACTGACGTCAGCTGAGCATTAGCCCTGTTCACCCGTAGTAACAGACTCAGGATTTATACTATGTTTTGCTCTTAATCTAACAATTTGGGGAAAAACAAGTCTCTAGTCTCTGTTCCTGGGGCTGGGCAGCACAGAGCTGCTGTCCTGGGATCTCAGTGACTATTTGGTGAGCATTTTCCACACCTAAAGCTTCTGATCTTGTAACTCAGCACTGCTGCAGCAGGAGATGCAAACCAAGGCACTTCCACAGCCAGAAGCATAAACAGAAGAAGGACATCCAAGCCCTTCTTCTCAATTTACTCCTAATTTGGCACCACTTACTGGCAGAGAGAAGGGGGGAAAACCAGTGCCACTGGTGGGAATGGCAGCTGAGATCCAGCTGGCTGGGCAGTATGGAGCTGTGGAGCATTACAGAGCCTACAATGCAGTTTCTCTGGAGGAGAAGAGGAACCTTATGCATCACTTACAGAACATAATGATAATAATGAAATTAGAAGGACCAAACTGCGAATTTCTTCTTGTTACTAACCAAATACTCACTCCAAAAAGTACTTTGCTTGGAAAATCCAGGCACACAGATCCAGCCTGCAGACTCATGGGGAATAAACAGTGGGACAAGAAGGGTGGTAGGTTCTGGAAAGGCTTTTTGAGCTTACCAGCCTGGACACCTCCAGGCAATGGAGGATGTGCTTATCACCTGCCAAGATCTGCAGAACAATATGGTTTTGGGCTTCTGAGAGAGGTAAAATGAGAAGATGATGCAGCACCTGGACATTATTTTCACTATCTCTTAGCCATGTACTGGAAGCTGCTGCCTCCCTTGGATTTTTCATTTCCTGAGTTAAAAATCCAAGTGAGATTGTAGATATGTGTCTTGCTCATTATTTTTTGGAAGCAGGAGAGGAAGTTTATGAAGTCAGTCCTATTTCTCTGCTTCTGTGGTTCAGTAGTTCCAGATTTAGAGCTGGATAAACATGAGCACAGTTATTTTTTAAACTACTCAAAGTCTCCTCAGTACTCTTTGTAGTCTCCCCTAGAAGCAGAGGCAATTTACACTATCCACAGATCTCTTCCACAAACTAGTTGTTCTTATTATCCATGTTGTAGGGATTGGGAGGTTTTACAATTCCTGTGGTGTGTAACAATGCAGAGACTCAGTGGGACAATTCCCATATTAATCCATTAAATAAATAAATATGGAAGCACAGAAGTAGAACTTAATTAAGGGAAGGCCTGGATTAGCCTGAGGATGAGCCCAAATTCACTGCACAGAGCCTGCAGTCAGCCAGGCCAAGGAAACCTCACGTGGAAAACAGATAATTTTCTTAAAGATTAATATCTTGATTGTATCTAAATACTGATCAGTGAAACAAGAATTTGTGTCTCTGTTTTGCTCACCTCCTGTTGCTTCCTGTTTTACTGGTTTGGATGGCTGGTGGGATTGGTTTAAACTGGGTTTTGAGCCACTTATCTAACCACTCTGAAAATGACTTGGTATAACAGAGAGAAAACAAGAAATTGGAACACAGTCCTGCCAGGCAAGTGGAATAAAAAATATCCCCGATGTGACACATCTCTCAGGAAAACATCTGTCAAAATAGGTACAATTTTGAGCAATAGTGGAAGTGCATAGTGGTGAACTCACCATCCCTGGAAGTCAAAAAATATGTGAATGTGACACTTGAGGACACAGTTTAGTGGTGTTGGGATGGTTGATAGTTTGACTTGGTGATCTTGGAGGTCTTTTCCAACTTTAATGTGATTCTATGAAAAGGCAATTCCAGAGCAGGATGAGACTCTGGCTGATGGATTATGGAGCAAGGAGGACACTGCAAAATAAACAAGCCAAAGCTCCCTGTTGTGCCTGAGCAGGTATTCCCACTGGAAAAGCCCAGGGTTTGGGACAGAATCACCCTCTGTTTCTGAGGTTTGCCACAGAATCACCTGCTGTTTCTGAGGTTTGCTTCAGCTGCTCTGCCAAGCTAACCCACCTGAGGCTGTCCCTAGAGAACTCACTCCAATGTGCAGCTGCACACACTTGTGAGAACTCCCAAGAGCTCCACTGCAGGGCCTGTGGGATTGCTCTCCCTGGCTGCTAACTGAGCCCTTTGGAAGCCCTGGAGCAGCTGCCCAGCAGACATCTAGCAGCACACAGGCCTCTCCCTGACTGCACACAGTTGCTGTTATGTGACTGCAGCTAAAACAACCTCCTGTCAGGTGCTCTGAGATGAAACCTGCTTGGATGGAGCCACATTAAGCAGTGGCTGTCAGTAACACAGGTCTGATGGAATTCTGGCAACATGACCAGCTCCTGGGGGATCCAATTAATAATCCCTGTTTATGAAATGTCTCAACACACAAGGATTTGGAAGCATTTGGCTGCGTAACTAATAGGAGGACCCAGGACCTTACTTGTGGGAGATGATGGTGGGAGGCAGCTGCTTGTGATCCCCAGCCAGGATGCACTTGGGAGCCTTCAGCAGAGGAATCCAGCAACTGGCTTCCAGGGCCTGAGCACACTCATCAATCACCACCACATCGAAGTGGTTTTCAGGCAGCAGCTTCAGAGGGCCATCAGAGGAAGCACCTGATGGAAAGAGAAGGCACAATAATGTTTGTTTGCAGGGATTTAGAACTTCAACTCCACAGCACATCCCAAACACATATACATCGATATGTATAACTCAGGATTGGTTTTGCTAATTCCTGATGTCCTTTGTCTCCCCTAGCATCTGGGCCCAGAAGCTTCCAAGTCTCCTTGAGAACAACAGCAAAACTCAAAATGCCAAACAGAACAACATGCTTGAGTGCTTCACCCAGAGCAGAGCAGTGAACACCCACTCTCCTGCTGCCCCCCAGTGCAAACAAAACCCCTCACCACCAACACTGAAAGGGTGAGGGACTGGAGATTTGCCCTGTCTGACAACTGAGGGATACCCTAAGAGGAAGAGATGGGCTGACAGCCTAACTCCTCTGCTCCGCTGGCCCTGGCTGTGCCACTCTGTTCTTCCTCATGGTGCTGGGAGAAGGGAATGCCCAGGAGAAGTAAGCAGACCACCACAGCAAGGGCTGGTTTTTAGTATTAGAAGTCCACTTGTCATATCAAACAAATAACCCTTAGACACATCCTGCTCTAGCCCAGACCTACTGATACTGACCCATGCATTGATCAGAAATCTCAAAATCTCACTGCAATTCATAAAGAAAAGGCATGCAAAAGGAGAAGAGGGTTAGGAAGACAGCACGTCAGACCAGGAGATTTTTTTACTGACAGACATGTTTTTTTGCAAAGCTATTGCAGCTCTGAAAGCAGCTCTGGGAAGGGAGATTTGGCTTTGCCACTGTAAATCCTGTTTCCTCTCCAGCTTTGCATCATTTCAGATGCTACAGTTTGTTCCAAGACACTGTGTTTTCCTCTAAACCAATTCTTCCAGCCTGTATGAATCCACTCTGATAAGAGGGATGTTGTAACTTGACTTTTGCCATTTGCCACAGTGAGGGTAGAAGGACAAGAAATAAAAGTAGAAAGGTTCCTTCTGTCTAAACCAGCCTGTACCAGTGTGGCCTCATTTTCTTCCCTCATATCCTTAGGTTTATTGAACTGCCATTAACTAAAGGTCACTAGTGTCCCTGAGTGTTGCCATGATTAGATTCTCTCTCTGCTCAGCCTAGCAACAGAGCAGTCGGTCTGCAGGAATAGTCATTCCCATTAAATACATAGGTTCAGACAAATCCCATGATTGCTTAGCAAAATCCAAACCCCTTGTTTGGCCACCATCTCTCTCTCAGGCAGAATTGCACAGCCTCCCAGTGTTGAAGAATGGCTAAAGGAACAGGGGCACAGCCCCAAGAACATGTTGTACAAGCAAGGCCCTGGGAGCCTTGAGTATATAACTATGAAGTAGGCCTCAAGAATTTAGCTTGTCAGCATAACAGTATAACTTTGTAAACTCAAGGGCAGGCTGTCCTTGAGTTGAAGACAAACAACCAAAACAGAACTGAGATCCGGGAGAATAAAGAAGAAGTCTTAAGGCTGTAACCGCAAGCAGAAAAAGTATATAAATGTAACTTTTAGAACTTAGGTAATGCTAAAGTGATGAATAGGCATATTTATCGTGTACTGTATAAAAGAAGAACTGAGCGAATAATAAAGTTGAAGCTTGCTTTATCACTCATACTGAGTCAGCTGCTTGCTTCACCCTGCAACTAGCGCCTGAACAGGGACCGGGACCTGGACTCTGGACCTGAAGAGAAGTAGGATTGCGTGGCCCAGACAAGCGCTGGTGGCAGCGACAGGAGGGCAGAGGTTGCCTAGACCAACCAAAAGGGGTCTGCACGGTCCGAGAACGGCTACAACGTGGAGAAACACGGAGCTGCACACTCGCAGAGAGACACGGCGTGATTGGATTTGGGAACAACGCTTACGGTGGGGAAAGCGGAGCGGATCGACACGGATAGCAATGTTGCATGCAATGGAAAAAGAGGTAGCCCTCACCTTATTAACACGCTTTTTAGAAAAGCAAGGAGTAACTTGTATCAAACAAGTTCCAGGGCTTATAGCCTTTGGGGCAGCAAAGGGTTTCTTTGCAAACTCTGACTTATATTTTAATGAGCAAGAATGGAGGAAATATGGGGACTGTCTTTGGGACTGTGTCATAGATAAGGATAAGACCGCCAAGAAGCTGATGAAGCCATGGTGGGAGACTATCAATTGCATTAAATGGTATAAATTGGAAAATCAGTTGGCGGCGGTCGCAACGCAACAGTTAGATCAATCAGATGCTGAACCAGGGCAGCTGACAGTCGGAAGGGACTATTTTTCAATACCTCCTACAGGGGGTATGGGACCAGCTGTTTGCTTGGAGAGTATGCGACTTATGCAGCATGCCATAAGAGCAGTTAAAACTGCCCCCCCCACTCCATCTTATATGTCTTTAAAGCAAGGGCGGGACGAGTCCTTTGCCTCATTTATAGACAAGGTGACAGATGCGATTAACCGGTCAAATGTACCTGATTGGATGAAAGGATCATTACTTAGGCAGTGTGTTATGGAAAATCCTAATACAGCTACAAGGTCAATATTAGTTACGTTACCTGCAGATGCCTCCATAGAGGAGATGTTAGAACACATGAGCAGAGTGCCGGTAGGGCCACAAGCTAGAAAGAATTAGTTAAAGCCCAAAGTCAAGCATTCGCAGCTCTTGCACCACTGACTCCCTTGAGAGGAAGTAATCAAGGAACACAGAGACAGAGCAAGTATGATGGGAAGTGTTTTAGGTGTGGTAAGGAGGGTCATCTCAAAAGAGAATGCCGGGTCAGGGTGTGGTGCCAAAACCGCAACAGGGAAACACACGACACCGCCGCTTGCCGAGGGTCGGGAAACAGCCGGCGGAGCGCAAAGAGCCGCTGCGTGCCGACAACAGTAGCCGCTCCAGCGCAATATATGACTCCAGCGCCCCAGGCGACTGCCAGCTACGACCAGCCACCAGAGGAAGCCTCGGCCTGGACCTGGCAACAGCAGTAGATACCACCTTAATTAGTTGGCACCCCATGAGGATACCATCGAACTCCCGGGGGCCGCTATTGATTGATGGACAAGCCCAAGGGGCCCTTTTGTTTGGTCGATCCTCAAGTGGACTAAAAGGACTCCTTGTGCTTCCAGAAGTTATTGATGCAGATTATATTGGAGTTATCCAAATGGTGGTTCAAACTGATTTTCCACCCATGCATATTCCAGCGGACAGGCTAAGATCAATGTTTGGGGGGTTGACACCTTGGCTAAGTAGACAACAATGTTTGGTAGTCTGTCACCTTGGTTGTTATCTGTAGTTAAAGAAGTATTAAGGATGCTTGGAATCATTTTCCTAATAATCATCATTGTCAGATTAGCATATAGCTGTATTATTAAGAATGTAACCAATTTGACTCATAGAGCCTTGCTCTTATAAAAAGAAAAAGGGGGAATTGTTGAAGAATGGCTAAGGGAACAGGGGCACAGCCCCAAGAACATGTTGTACAAGCAAGGCCCTGGGAGCCTTGAGTATATAACTATGAAGTAGGCCTCAAGAATTTAGCTTGTCAGCATAACAGTATAACTTTGTAAACTCAAGGGCAGGCTGTCCTTGAGTTGAAGACAAACAACCAAAACAGAACTGAGATCCGGGAGAATAAAGAAGTCTTAAGGTTTTAACCGCAAGCAGAAAAAGTATATAAATGTAACCTTTAGAGCTTAGGTAATGCTAAAGTGATGAATAGGCGTATTTATTGTGTACCGTATAAAAGAACTGAGCGAATAATAAAGTTGAAGCTTGCTTTATCACTCACACTGAGTCGGCCGCCTGCTTCCCCACACGATTTACCCCCGCACCCCAGCTGGCTGGGAAGCTCTAGGCCCAGGAGAAAATCACAGCTGATCAACAAAAACACCAGTTTAACTGAAAAAAGGAAACCTCTCCCTGTTTTTCAGGCAAAGTTAAAGGAAACGAGAGGCCAATTCCCAGGGAATAATGTGTGGAAGGATTTCTTTTCTTTAACCAGCAACTTGCCCCATGAGGTCCCTTTTTATGACCTAAAATTATTGATGTTTCCCTTCAGGAAATGATCCCTGAGCAACCAAATCTGAAGATTCCAAGTTGGCCCTAGAATATTAAATATCTGAGCTAGAAAACACTTTAGCACATGCTAAATTTTAAGTACTCATGTCCCCTTTGACTATAAGGGCATTACTTTCCTACCTGTAGATGCAGATGCCTGGTGGATACCTGGGACTGCTCTCTAAATCCCATGTCACACCATTTGTGTGACTCACAGAATGAACCACACACAGGCTGAGACCAGGCTATGGAAACACGCGCTGTATTCCATCAGTCCTGGAAATCATCCAAGCAGGGAAGCAATTCCATGTGACTTATGCAATCAATAGCAGATTGCACACCTCCAGCACCACTTGTTTACTCACTGAACTCTCACAGCTCCTACTCAGAACTAACAAAGGCCCTTCCAGACCCATATTCTGTGCTGAACAACATCCTGTGCCAGAGTGTGGAGAATCCCACTGTGGAAGGGCTTGAGAGACTTCAACGAACTCTCAGGAGCTTGGAGCAGGAAGACTAAGCCTCCCAGCTATCCTGGCAGGATGCTGCCTTGCAGGGCACATGGTTTACCTGAGTCCTGGCAAAGTGAGGTGAAATACTGAACAAGAGGATCTCACACCTGTATTGGTGGCAAGGACAATGCTGGCATGGGTCAGGGCTGCAGCCATGGCAGCTTCTTCTCGCTCCTTCAGCTCCTTCCTCAGTGTCTTAATCTCACTGAGAAAATGGCTTCGCTCTCCCTTGTCTTGGGCCTTTTTGGTTTTTGCCTACAAAAGAGAAAGATCAGGATAGAACCAACTGTTTCTAGTCAGACACCTCAGCCCCATTCAACAGATGAGCATGACCAGCCAAAAGCACCTGAGCACAGAGCAGGGAGTAATGTTTGGGAGGAGAGGTCTTGTGCCTCTGCTGGGTGAAGAATGGGGATTTCCTATCTCATTCTGCTCTGTTGCTCAGGGAAGCAGGAACCCTTTGGCTCCTGGAAGCAGGAGGGGTTCCCAAGCCACAGCAGCAGCTTTGCCACTTCAAAATGCCATCTCTGATCTCTGTAAACGATTCAGAGCAGCATCTAGACAGGCTCATATGGCAGCCTCGTCCCTCCCTGCTCAGCCACCTGTTCTGGTTGAACTTGTAGGTATTTAGAACTGTGAAACCTCTATGTGTCTGTCAAGTGTAGTTAAAATGGGCTCAGAAATTCCAGGGGAGGAATCACAGACAGACAGACGTGACCACACATGTACCTTTTCCTTAGCTGGATCTAAGGGACAGGTGGGAGCCAGCCCTGACATTCACTGAGCTGAAAGAACACAACAGATGAGCAACAGCTTCCTCCCTGCTAAACCAGAAAGATCAGAGCCAAACTGATGGTGCCAACAGGGCTAAGGTAATGCCTGTTCTGCTAAAAAAGTCTAGTTAGCAAATAAACAACCACAGCTATTCTCTGGTGATGGCTGGTGATACTCACATCCAAACATCTGCCTGAATCTGGGAGCAGCTGAGAGAGCAAGGAGCATAGTCCAGAGGGTACAAAGCACAGCACGGTGCCTGGCACAAGGTCAGTCTGAATCCTATCCTTTCCCTTTTATTAGGGCTCTGTGGGTGCCAACAGGCTTCAGCTCTCCCAACCTACCTCATGTGGGCCCCTACTCACCCACTCACTGGTCTGGGAGATGCATTTGGGGCCAGGCCTTGATGCTGGACTGAGCTGTAGGGTTTGTGCACTGAGGCTGGTTTCCTTCCTGGGTTACCTGCCTCATCCCCCCTGGGCTGCTGCCTGACCCTGCTCAGCATCCCTGGACCTGGACTCATGCTGTCTTTCTTGCTCAGGTACTGTGGGGCTGCATCCCTGTTGGTGCAAAGAGTATTCAGAAGCCAATGTTCTGGAAAGCTTGAAGGCAGGTGAGGGAAGGAGACACAAAGGGGGAGAAAATGTCCAAAGAGAGCACAGGTTTTCATTTATGTTACTAGTCCTTCTGTGGTTTGGGGTTGTGGTGAAAGGAAGGAGTGAAAAGAGTCAAAATGCTGAGTGGAGAAATGAAGAAATTATTACAAGGATAAGTAGGGGATGTGGCAGGAGAGAAACTATAGTAGGAGGAGGGAAAGATGTGCCAGGGCCTCAGAGTTAGGTGCATGTTCTGTGATAAACCTGATCATGGGCAGCTCAAAGCATTGCTGTGTTAACTGGACTGCAGCTCTTGGGTTCCTTGTTTGGTATTTTGGGGTGAACCAAGGCTTGGTGGCCAGTTCCTACCTCCCATCACCATGATCCCCTTCCTCTAGGGAGGAGGAAGACAGAGACTTTAGTGCTGAAGTTAAGTTTAGAAAAATTAGGTTGAGAATGAAAAACACATCCTTAATTTCTTCTATGTGCTCTGCTTTCTACTTAAGGTGGCTGAGAGTGGGAGGGAGTGTCAGGATAGGCAGACAGCTTGTCAGGAAGTGAATTAATGATGGAAATGTTTCTCTGGTGACAAGAGGATGGCATGAACCATGCCCAGACAGAGGATCTGAGGGGCAGGGCACTGCTGCATCTCCCCACACAGCAGCAAGGACTGTGATTTTCCCACTTCTGTGAGGGATTCAGCCAGCAAGAGTTTTGCCCTCAGCTTCTCCAGCAGGTGATGGTTTGGGTTGCAAGTGACATTAAAGCTCATCCAGTTCCACCCCCTGCCATGGGCACGGACACCTGCCACTACCCCAGGTTGCTCCAAGCCCCATCCAACCTGGCCTTGAACACTTCCAGGGATTGGGCAATCACAGCTTCTCTGGGCAACCTGTGCCAGTGCCTCATCACCCTCACAGGGAAGAATTCCTCCCTAACATTTCATCTTCTAACCACCCAATCAGAACAAATGGGGTTAATCCAGGCCACACACATTCCCAGCTGTCCCTCCTAGTCCCCTGCACTATGCCATTAGTTTTCTCTCCACTGAGGTGTCCTTTCTCCTCTTGACTGACCACAAAGAGAGGCTCATGCTCACCAATAAATTGCCTGCTTGGATATGGGAAGATTCCAAATGGTTCAGGGTGCCCTGAACCCCCAAACACTGGGTTCAATCAGGGTGCAGGCTGGCTCACAGAAGGAGCAGTCACTGTGACTTGCCTCTAGCCTTATTTTGGAGTAACCAGGAGCACTTGGTTGTAGTGATTGGCTTCTAAGGGCACCCAAGAAGTGCCAGAGCTGTTCTTTATTTTAGAGAGGAAGGTGGATCAGGCGGTGCCTGTGGATCAGGTACTGTAACCTAGAGCTGCAGTCAGGTAACCCACACAAGGTGTGCTGCAGGGACACATACCCAGGCCTGGTCGATGTCCTTCCTGATATCTGCCACTATCTGGGCATTGTCCCCATGGGCCAGGACTGCATCCAGGGAATGCTGCTGGATGGGCTCAAGGAGGCGAGCAGGGTGTCCCAGCCGCAGGATGTGGACCTTGGAGCCAGCCAGACGTTCCACCAGGTTATCCACCGCCACATTGGAAGGGGCACAACACAGCACCTGTGAGGGGAGAATCCAGGTGCTTCTTACTTCCAAGGACAGCAAAAGGCTGGAACAGCAGTATCCAAGATGGAAGAGAAGGAGACCAACATGCATGTATTGGGAATAAACCACTGACATTTCCAGGGCCTCCAGGCACCAATATACAACGTAAATTTTCCCTCTTTCAGTTTGAACCCATTCTCCTTGTCCTATCACACCAGTTCCTGATGAAGAGTCCCTCTCTGGCTCCCTTCTGGTACCAGAAGGCTGCTCTGAGGTCTCCATGCAAGAAGAGGTGGTCACTGGTGGCCATCTAAGGTGGTCACTGTCCCCACAGCCCCTGACACTGATCCTCACCTTCAGACCTTGGTGGACAGCTTGCAGGATGATCTCTACCAGGGTCGTGGTCTTCCCTGTGCCAGGTGGTCCGTGGATGATGGCGAGTTCCCTCTGAGCCAGGGAGAAGGAGACAGCTTCTCTCTGTGATGTGTCCAGAGAGGCATTGAAAAATTTCAGAGGCTCTGGGGAGACAGCAGGAGAGTCACTGGGACCTCAGCCCAAACTGGGAGCTGGCTGAGAAGCACAAATCCAGGAATACAAGAAGCTCTCAGCAGCTGGCCCAAATCCATTTGGGAATTATAACCCTGGGAGGAAGGCACTGAGGGGGCTAAAAGACCCCAGAATGTAAAAGTAAGGCTTGTTACGCTTCCAAAACAGGCTGCCCATTATGAATCCATACTTTCCCCTTTCCCACCTCATCCCTGATATTGTGCAGGAACAAGCATTCAGGTGTGACACAGCCAGTCTGTGGTGGAGTTTCCAGCATTTAAAGAAGCATTTTGCTGCTCTGATATCAAACTGGTAGGATTTCCTGGGAGTGGAAGGTGCTGTAGGTTTATTTTACCGGCGAGACAGCATATTTAATAAACCCTCAATGAAAATTGGGGAGGGAATAGTTGATTTGCGAACAAATCACTTCCAGTTAACAAAGCCAACACAGCACTAATGAAAAAGCAGCAGGAAAACCTACAGGGTCTGTGAGCAGAACAGAGCAGGCCTGCACTGGTCAGCAAAGAGTGGGAAGGAAGGCAGGAAAACATAAAAGCAGCAATTTAAATGAGAAAACTAAAATTAGTTTCAGCTTTAATAAGGAAGGAAGAAAAGGGAAAATAATATGGAAATTGCATTAGAAGAGAATTGGTTTCACTGCAGAGACTGAATTCTCAAAAGCTGCTTTTTACCTCCCAGATTTATCCCATTTAGGCCCATATTTATTCTCATCCCCCTAATCCTGCTGTTAATCTCCTTGTTCATTATGGGAGTTAATTACAGCAGAGATGATGACTCATGACACTGAGGTTTCCCGAAAATAACATTCCCACAAAAGCTTATGTAAGACACATCTCTGGGCATCATTCCCTTCTGGGCATCATGTGCTTTATCCCTCTCTTTGCATTAAGGGCTGGATTAAAAACATGGAAGTTTCTTATGGCCTTAGGCAGGTGAACTTGTGTGTGACCTTTGGCTTTTGAAGCAGCACAACTGAACAAGGTGTCTGGATGAAACAAAAACACCCATTAAAAAGGTGGTGAGGAAGAGAGAAATGAGCTTAAAAGTCCTTTTAGCAGTTAATTCACCTCTTGGTTTATATATAATTTTGGGGTGAATGTGCTAATGACTAAGAGAAGACCAGGAAACATCCCATGGGCTGGGGAAAAAAACAAGAATAGCTTAAAATCAGAAAGGCATTTCCCTCAGCGAGGAACAGCAGGGATGTAGGAGTCATTGATGCTTCCTTGCTCAAGGATGAGATCAGGAATGTCTCCAGGCGTGGGCCCACCCTCTTCCCTTCTAACCACACACTGCCAGGAGTGTGGGCAGGCTGGGAATGTGCCTCTCCTGGGCTGGGCAGAAGACATGTGTCTCACTGGTGGCCAGGTAATTCTGCTCCTGATGCACAACTTGATTTAGGAGTGCAGCATTGATAAACAAATCACCTTGGCTATCAAGGTTGGTCTCCAACAACATTTCCAGGAACTGAGAGGCTTTTCTGCACAGTTCCAGCAGCTCAGGTGAAGCAGTGTGTTGGGGGGGTAATATTGAAGCCCAGGAAAAGGGGTTTTCTACCAAAAATGGATGGGAAATGTCTCTCCTGGGAGGAACAGCTCAAGTTTTCCACAACTGAAGGCCTCTCAATGCACCTTCCCAAGTATATTTCTCACCATCATTGTGTGCAGGCACCAAGAGCGTACCAGATCCCACCACCAGCTGCTCTACAGCACAACCTCACTGCAGCCAACATTGTTGGACAAAGTCCAGGTGGGTAATCCAGCCTAAATTAGGAGCTTTCCCAGCTCTCCCTAGGAAGCACTTGGCAGCTGAGTTGTCTGGACTGCTTAGTCTTCCCCACACATCTCAGGGGCCTCTCCACGGGGCCTGTGATGATGAGGTGTCACGTGGCAGGGGGCAGGAAGCATTTGACATTTTTGCAAGTGACTTGAGCCAAGAAGCCAAGAAAGTTTTGCTGAAAATCCCTGCTGCTTTCCCCAGTGCTCTGCCTGCCAGGCTGGCTTTTACTGGGGACATTCCTGCCTTTTTTTTTCCTTCCTTCTTTCTCTTTCCAAATGTTTCTACAGCCCTGAGCAGAGTTAGATGCAAGCCAGGCCTTTTGGAGCCAGTGCCTGGGCACAGGGATGAATACCAAGGCTCTCTCCACCCCAGGACTACAGAAGAGCACTGGCAGCTATTAGTGACCTGCACAGGCATGGTATAACCTGGTTTCCAAAAGGAAAAGAGATGTATCCCTCTTGGATGGCTGCGGGGAGCACGACAAGCAGAGCAGTGCTGGCCCCTGCTGGCAAGCAAAGCCTCTCCACATCCCCCTCAAAATGTGTGGGTTCAGAGGTCCTGCACGGATGCAGAAGAAGATTGCTTGGAGGAGATTTCAGGTGTGAAAGCCGTAGTAGGGCCACGAGAGCAGGACAAAGTGGAAGAGAGGCAGGCAGAGCACTGTTAATGGATGTGGGTGTCTGGATCTTGCTTCCAAGAACGTCTGACAAGGGCAAAAAGACTCGATTCAGAGTTTGCCTTTTTGGAAAGCTTTTTCTTCCACTTGGAACCTTTCTGGAGGCAGCAAGGTAAGGCGTGAAAGTGTTTTGAGCTAGTGCCATTTTTAGCTGCAGATCCCTTAGGTGATACCTTCGTATTCATTTGGCTACTCCATAGGCTATTCCTCCCACAGGCTGTCTCACAGGTTTGTGTTATGCCAAGGATATTTATTGCTGCATTTTCAAGTGTTTTGAAAGGACTTGGGCTTTGTGCTGGCTTGGGCTGCTGCTGTCTGATAATTACTTACTAAAATGCACAGAACCCACCTAAAATCCCTGAGACTCCTCTGCTTGAAAAATGAGGCTTCTACTTTTTATCCCACACATAAAATATCAGATTTAGGCTCCTGCTGCTGCACATATCACTTCCTGGAGCTGATTTTGCCCTCAGTCCTACCCCTGGCTTTCTGGCTGCTGATTGAAGTTAGCTTGTATCACATCCAGGAATGGTGTTGACACAGATGTGTGTCTAGACAGCCAATTTTAGGAGCTGTACAGAGCTTATTGACTCAGCCTGCTGATGGGTTGGTTTGAAATGAGATAATGGATGGGAATGAGACAGATAGAGGGAAGCATCTCCCAAAGAAACCAGGCTAATGGGTGTTTGGTCATGAAAGGAGACACTGTGACATGGAGAAGCAGCCTGAGTGCTGTGAGGTTTTTCTGTCCTCCCGTGTCACAACCCTTCAGCTCAGTTTAGGCTGGAAGTTCAAAGATCTACTTAAAGTCATTATTAATTAATTCCTGGCTAGTATAACATCTTTCTAGTTGGGCAGAAAGTGAGAAGGTAACTGGAAGGCCTTTGCACCCTGCCAGAGTATTTTGCTGACCTCAGGTGATGCACTGCCTTCTTACATTGCAGCTCCTCTACCTCTCTAATGTGGCTGAATGTTTCTATCCATCAATATTCCTAGTGCTGGGGATATGTCAAATTCATATTTGCTTAGTCTGGCGATCAGATGGAGTTTTCCTTCATTAAAGGCAGTTCTGCTCCCACAAGGGAAAAAGCACTGTTGAAGCTGCTAAGAAAGTTGGTTCATTAAAATTTAATTCTTTTATCTAATATTAAAAACTTGAGTGCACCAAGGTCCCAGGGCATCCAAAAGGCTAAAAGGTTGGACACAGATTAGGTTCAGTGCTTAGAGCTGCAGAGATCTTACTCATTAATATCCACTTTTTGTCCTTGGTATAGCCTGTTGGAAGCCAAGTCTGGCTGGAGGGAATGGGAGTGTGCACAGGAGAGAGGCAAACCATTGTGGACAGGCACAGTGACTGAACACAACCACAAGGCTGGAGAAATACAAATCCAGGACTTCCCACGATGTTCCAGCCACTTAATTCCCATGGAGGCCAAGTTATTTGATTTAATAGAGAAGCAGCACTGGCAGTTTCTGATCTTTGCTGTTTATGGATGGGGTTGGGGCAGGAAGCAAATGACAAATTTCTTATAAATTAGATGGAATTTCAGACCCAATTCCCCCATCACAAATCCTGCCTGTTCAATGCTAGAACTTGGCTTTCCTCGGCATGCTCTGAGAAAAGGGAGCATTAACCAGCTGAACAGTCACTTCCAGGGTCTTTCAATGAGGGAAATGTGACCAGTATAAACCAGTATGAACCCTGAACGTTCAGTGCTAGCACCTGCAACACCACTGATGACCCACATTCAACACTCAACAACTTCCCTGGAGCGAAGTGACCACATGTGTGGATAAAAACTGTACAAGGATCAGTTATTTGTTCCCACGGGCAATCCCAGAGAATATCTGATATTCCAAAGAATCAGGTACAAAACCTTATGAAAAAAGGATCCTTACTTGTTTCACTGAATGCACTTGGAGCAGAGGCAAAGAAGAGGACATCAATCAGGTCGGAGGCTGGACCACCACGGTACTGCTTAAGGGCAGTTAAAGCTCTGTCA